TCTGTCACTGTCAGTCTGTCACTGTCAGTCTGTCACTGTCAGTCTGTGTTAATACTGAGTTTTGGTACACGTGTACCAAAACTCAGTATTAAACGGGCCCTGGTGCTTTTTAATGTTTTGTTGTTGTAAAAAACGTGAAAGGCTCTCGCTACAGCCAGTGTTCAGTTTGTCCGTTCTGGGCTAATGTGGAAACACGGCGGTGCAAGATGGCGGACTCCGCTCTCTAGGAAGCGTTTTCTAAGCTAAACAAAATACAATTCTGTTCAGTTATGGATATTATAATCCATTTCGGTCTATTAATCCCCTGAAATGTTACAATATTACACACTGTTCCTTTAACACCTTGTTCCCGTTGTCACGTACTGTACCGGATACATTGTCAGTGCCATAAAATTTTTAAAGAAATACCATAAATTGTGAAGAATTGCGCTGTATGCTAATGCAATACCAAAATTACCTCACCAAAATAATTTCTTTTGTGACTGCAAAAATCCCCTAGCTGGCTTCTGGTTACTAGCGCTTGCTCTTGAGTAAAAAAAGGAAACTGAAGATGTACACTGTGCCAGATTTATTCATTTCTTTCTTGCTCTGTACCTGTCTGAGTGTGTGCAGATGCTGCTCTTGCTGGTGCAGATTCCATTGGCTCTGTTGGATGAGCTCATCCAGAGCCGGCGCTGCAGGCGGAGGAATCGGAAGCGGAGCAATCATCGGTATTGTTGGAGGAGGGATATCAACCACGTCTTTGGTGCCTGGGTTGTACATTTCTGCAACAAAATATGAAAAATTTAAGTCTGGAAGTTTGGTAAAGCTCTGATTTTGGGGCCGAGGCTGGGAGGGTTGATGCTGTGCCACTGCTCATGTGATGCAGATGCCCAAAGAGAAGGATGCAGTCCATACATAATGTAAATAAAAGTATTTAAATCAAAGTGACATGTAAAAGGTCAAATAAGATGCATCGGCTTACATATAGCAAGCTGAAACATTTCAAGTAGGAGCAGAAGAGTGAACATAATTTAAATGACATGCAATCAGCATTGACCATTCTTTGAGCCCTGAACCTCTGCAGAAACTGTTGAAAGTAAATGTTAGAACCTCCATGGTCTCCATGACGTCCCATTCCCACAATTTGGAAATATTTTAAAACCAATACAACTATTTGATGTTAGACAGAATCCCTGGCCTACAAATCAAGATGCAAGTCAAAAAATGCTTTATTAAAATAAATCATATAGAATTCTAACTAAGGATGTCCTGAGCCAATAAATAGTAGGCTGCTTTAGGGATCAGGTTATTATGTTGGTCATGTAAAAAAATGTCAATTTCTAAGGATTTGTTTAATGTGATTCATTAAGGCTATGCAAGCTGTCAATGCCCCACTGCCCTCAGTTAGACACCATATAGCGAATGTATGGTAAGGTGTTATGACTTTAGTGACCTTGACATACAATATATTCAGACCTATAATTTTTGACTTTATATTTTAAAACCTCATGAAATCCATTTCCCCGTCATCAAAATTATCCCTTATATTTGTGGTTACTGTAACGTTCTCTTGCAGCTAATGGCAAATGGTGGCTTATGATATTTTTCCCAAATGATATCAGTATAATATTACAGGAACTGTGCATTTGTCATTCTATCCAGGAGCTCTCCAGATAAAAGAGCAGGCAGAATATCATGACACATCCATATCAAGATGCACACACCAGCCCAGTACTGTGAGCCAGTGGGTCCACATCATCCACTTTCAATTCATCCTTGAGAGTGAGAGTGTGGTAGTGAAAACTTTATCAAGAACTGAGATAATTAATCAGATACTCGTGAACCCAACAATCATGCAGCACTTGCTCTACAATGCCCTGAATCATAAAAAAAAAAAAGCATTTTAGAGACAAACAGTTTGAACAAAACCTGTCACCAGAGTCTTGTAATATGAAGCCAGTTCAACATAACCAAAAGATATCTGGATCATCAACCCAGGGTATCTCAATCTGGCTGTGAGCGTGTTCACATAAAGGGGCGGTGTTTGCAGCATCTGACCAATCACAAACATGGACAAGTACGCTGTCAGCAGAGAGGTGCATTTCAGGCCTCTGGGCCCTGTACTACGAAGCAGGATTTGGTGTTAGCAAGGTCATTTCAGGGTTAACTGTGTGTTTTCAGTCTTTTGAGGGAGGTTCACTTCTTACCGGTATAGATCACCATGGTAACTTATGCTGAACACCTAACCTGCTCTGGAGCGTTGATGTTTGAGATAAGAGATCAACAAAGCTCTGTTCATGGACCGGTATATAATAATATATAACAATATATAATATTACACAAATACAAAGAAGTTAAAGTCATAATCCAGACTAAAAGCAACACAGTTTAATGTTTTGCAAATCTATTCTTATAGCGCGTGTGACAATATTTCAGCCTTATTGTTTCAGATGCAACCCCAGAGGTGTAAAACGGACTTGGGAGGAAGTAGAAAAAAATCTATAGATATTCTATTCATATCAAATATTAATTATGTGCGACAGCTTCTTGAGCTGTGTGTTGCAGTGCAACATGTTGGAGTCCTGTCCTACAGTCACAGACTGGATGCAGTGTTACTTTGCTCAGGTTTTCCCGCTTTGAATTCTGTTTTCATATTTTTATTTGCCCAAAAGTCTGTTTCACAGTGCCGGGTTGCAGCTGAAAGAATAAGAATACATCTAAGTAGCACATTAATTTAATGGAATACACACATGTGTATTCCATGTGCTACTTGTGTGTAAATTAACATCATCTAGTAATTACTAGATGATGTTAATTTACACACCCACACAGTCGATTTCTTGCCAGCTCGCCGTTCTGCATTTGTCTGTTAAACTGTGTTGCTTTTAGTCTGGATTATGACTTTAACTTCTTTGTATTTGTGTAATATTATTAGTAGTGCTGGGCAACGATTCCAATTTTTAATCGCAATTAATCGCATGATTTTTTTGCGATTAATCACATTGTTATGTGCAAAATTCAATAATTAATTCAAAAGTAGTGTATTGCGCACTTTTATTTTAAAAGTACTGCTATATGAACAAAAGTGCAATAACATTTGGTTTGCAAACACTTTAAACAAATCAGGTTCTTTTTAATAGCAGTATTCCCTTTACACAGTAGCAGTTATAATGATTCTGATAATAGATATTCAGCCCGTGTTCACAACTTTATCTTCATATGTGTAAGAGATGAAATTTGAAATATACTTCTTGAAAACTGCAAACCTATCTACGTCATGTTTTTTATGTTTGTTAAATTCTCAGTAGCGCTAACTAAATGATATGCTTATTATACATATTCCAAACAAAAAAAACTTTAAAAACTCTAAAATAATTTAAATGAATCATTTCTTTTTTGCTTTTTTTGGTATTTTGGTCAGACAATGCTGATTACCGTAATATGTGTGGTATTTGTTATAAATGTACGTTGGTACATAGAGGGTGATAAGAAGCTGTACATGGAGGGACTTAGGACCCAGGGGAATGTAGGTGAAGCATGGAACCTGTAGTCTGTACCGTGGCAGTAACCCGCATGAGGAAGTTATGCTAATAAAGAGTTGCAGTTAAGAGCAGTTTGTTCTCACATGCTTATATGTTTATTTAAAAACACAACAACATGTGTTTTGATATCGTCACTTTTGATCCTGTGACGAGACGATCGTGTGCGCGCGTGTGTGTGAGACAGGAGGGACCGACGGTTCCGGACCGGGCGTGTCACCCGGTGGGGGGGTTAATGCGTGATGCGTGATAATATAATTGTCGGCGTTAATTAATTAATGCGTTAACACGATAACGCGTTAACTTGCCCAGCACTAATTATTAGTTTAAACTGTTTTACTTTCAGCCTGAATTAGGTATTTAACTTCTACGTATTTGTCCGATATTAACGGTTTCTCTAAATTCGTAAAATGCGCCGCTTTGCTGACAGCATACTTCTCCATGTTTGTGATTGGTCAGATGCTGCAAACTCCGCCCCTTTATGTGAGAGGGCTCGATTGAGAAACCCTGGGTTTATTCACCGAGTTGATAACCAGCTTTGTGGGCCCACTTAGGGGGATAGCGGTTGTTAGGGTTAGTTAAATCAGATAACCAAAAGGTAACCAGGGCATGTTGAACTTCCTCTGGTCTCCTTCCGTTTGTCTAATCAAACCTGACTGAAAATGGAGGATTAGGCCCAATTTGATCAGCACCATCCATCAACACGATAGATATATCTTCACTCTAACTTCAAAACAATACAGCACATACTCAAAAAGAAAAACATACTAACCAGAAAAAAGCAACAGACAAATTCAAATTTTAGTTTGTTTTCAAACAAATCTGATTCCCAATAAATACCTTCAGATTTATACTCCTCCCCATCGTGGGCAGAAGGATCTAAGTGGAGAAAAGCAAATGTTAATACAGTAATGCATTTCAGTGGTATTACATGACTGACAGAAGAACTCCATGCAACCCTGCACAACACGGTGCTATTATTACCAGACTGTTGATAATCTGATCATCATATAGTGACCAAAAAAACTGTAGGTGCAGTAAGAAGCTTTAACTTCCTGTACTTATGCGACAAGTTGTATTAATAGTCAGCTGAGTCAAAACTATGAGTAACTACATAATACTACAGTTAAATAACTTTGCTGATACTTTTACAGCAGCAGGGTGTAGAGATTATGTCCAGAGATTTTTATTTTTACAGTTTTTAAGTACTGGCAGAACCAGTACAGTACATGTTCTATTTGGATTCAGCCACTAAAAGCCATGTGAAATATGTAGTGGTGTAACGGATCGATCTGTGATCCGTACTGATCCCCCTCACGGTTCGGCACATTAACAATAACAGTGTGAAATAAAGTTTTACTGACAATCGTTATCCGCAGATATTCAGTAAAATATGCGATTGGGACATCATTCATGCTTTCTGTTGGCTGATCTCTTAGAATGTTACATTGTAAACAACCAAAACGTGTTGAAAATGACTGGAGGAGAGCTGGTAACGTGGCTAATGGACAACAAACGAAGATTCCATTCAGTTACATTATGATGCCTTCAGGCTCTGTTCGGTGAAAACTATTATTGGCTGAAGTTGACAATGTTGTTTGTAAAAGATACTTTGCTTACTTGACTCACAGAGATGTTTGAGGTCAGTATTACCGGAATGTGTACAGCATTCTGTGAGCTGGATTAAAGTGGGTTGGAAATTCATAACATGAATAACGTGTTTATCACTTATTGGCCTAAATGACTGTATAAGAAGGTCAGTGGTTGGATCCCTGGCCCCTGCAGTCTACAAGTCAAAGTGACCTTGAGCAACATACTGAACCTCAAATTGCTCCCGATATCTGTGCCATCCGTGTGAGAGTGTGCATGTGAATGGTGATTGCTCGTGATGGGCAGGTTGGCCCCTTGAATGGTAGCCTCTGCCACCAGTGTATGAATGCATTTGTGAATGAGTGAATGCTGGCTTGTGTTGTAAAGAGCTTTGAGTCGTTGCGAAGACTACTATAACATTCCAACATCACAAAAATATCTATGTGCAAACTCTGGTTTTGTGCTAGACTGTCCTTTTAACTACATACGCTGTTGGTGCTCCATAGCAAGCTTGCACTTGTAGTAGCTGAAGTATTCTCCCCCAAAGAGGAAGGAGAACTTAGGGTTGTCCTTCTGTTTCTCCATCGTCATCTTTTCAAACTCTGGCCCATTCCGAGCGACAAACTGGGCCAGCTTGTCGATGACATTCCTCAGTTCTTGATCTGCACCAGAAAAAAGAAGAGGGAACACACACAGTCAGAGCTGAGGCAGCTGGGGATCTGTCTGAAAGTGGTGACAAACAAACAAACCAAAAAGAATGCAAGAAATGACAATAACTCGTGCTTTTCTGACAACATTCACCTGTTTTGTACCAATCTGAATGAAAGAAGAATCCCATCTACTGCGAGATTAAAAAGTAATCGGTTTCCTATTTAGGAACTTTCCTGACGTGGACCATCTCTTTGAATATAATAAACACAATTGTATATGAAAATGTGTAACAATATGAAGCAACATGTATATGCCCAAATGTAACTGAAATCGTTTTAAATTTTGGTTCATGTCATTCAAAACTGAGCAAAAGAATAAGTTACTTGAGGCCACAGTATCGTCTATGTGTCGATTAGGAAACTGTTTAAAAAACGGTCACTGTGCAGCAGACAGCATATTTTTACACCCACATGGTTAGAAGAGTCTAACGAAGTTTAACGATCTTCTGGGTTTTCAACGATTGCTGCCCGAGTATTAATCTTTCAGAAAAACCGAAGAGGCACAAACCATGATTGTGAAAATTAACAAGGGGTGAACATTTCTGCTGATCTTGTGCTTTTTATCTTTAACACCCAAATGCCTAAACTGGTGGAGTAACGTTAGCCTGAGGAGAGGGCATCCTAATCCACAAACATCCCGCACTACAAACCCATGCGTCTTAGTCCGTTTTACTGCTCACCATGCCACATAGTGTTACTCCTTGGAAAATTAAAGGCGAAAAGAAGGAAATCGGTCGAGTTATATGAATTTAGCCGTGCTAACGTTAACTTAAAAAACTACTTCCGAACTACCATTAGCGTTAAGAAAGCCTAGCTGTTGCGCTCCAATGCTAATGTCCATCATTGTTCATACTGCCCTGATTTATTGGTGCACAGTGTAACGTTACACACAGCTACTGACGTTACGAATTTGGCCCAACGGCTAAATGCAGCGGTAATGTATTGTGTTGAACAACGTTAGCTTGAGGTAGCATGTTAGCTAGCTAACGTACAATGACAATAATAAAACGTTGCCGCGTAACGTTACTGCTCACCTTCGGGGTGATTGGGGATATCCATGATTTGTTTCAGTTACAGCAGATCCGCTGAACCTTAATAGATCAGACCACTCGATGTCTATGTTCCTACTTGGTTTATACAATTGACCAAAAAAACAGCATTACCCCTGTAACGTAGGCCGGAAACCTTTATTCATTATGATGACGCCTATCGTGAACCGCCCTACTCCGCTTCTGATTGGCTAGTACTTGTTACCCTGCGTTCTTCTTCTTCTTTTTCTATTTATTTAATGGCGGGTGGCAACTGTCGTTAAAGTCGCATTACCGCCATCTACTATAGTGGAGCGTGCCAGAGTTCCTATTCCATTTCTTAGAACTAGGAGAAAACATACAAACGAAATGAACACAAAAAAACACTTCTATTCAATAATCCAGTTTCTTAAAAAAATTCGAACAAGGCTTTATATTTTCCTTTCGAAATGATAAATACATTCACCCCATATTTCTTTCATTCATTCTTCAGCTTTTTTGTTTTGTTCTTCTGGCAGTGACAGATAACATGTTCAACCGTTTCTTCATTCACACAGATCTGATGGATGTTTCCCCAATGATTGCATTGTTTTATTTAGCCCTGTCCCCTAACCTCAGTCTTGATATGATTGTTTGCTCTCTGGATTTTTTCCAATTGTTTTCATCCCTCCCACTTTTTGCTTTATTTCATATAGATTACACCCTTTATTTCATTCACCCCAATGAGTTTGCCAAGCAGACATGATATTGCTCCATATTACTGCTTTAGCTTTGGCTTTACTGAAAGCTAAATCCATGATTGTATCCTGTTTCAGAGCTTGCTTAGCTAGGGAATGAGCCACTTCATTCCCATCAATGCTGCTATGAACTGGGATCCACATTAACCTGGTTGCTGTCTCTACATGATGTAGTCTGACCAGTGGTGGGCCGTCAGGGCCAGCAAAGCCTTCTGACCCTAGCTCATCTGGCTGTTCCTGCTGTTTGTTCTGCTGTCTTTCATCTGTGTCTCCTGTCTCTCTCTCTCTCTCTCTCTCTCTCTCTCTCTCTCTCTCTCTCTCT